TTCAATCTTTACTCGTAGTAATTATTTTCTTAATTTTATTCGTTGGATTTTTATCTTCAACCTTTCAATAATTAACATCTCGTTCGTCCTTACTGATGTTTTATTTTTAAATATTTTGTTTTTATACTTTGAAATGTGGAAAAATAAGTTTTTATGTGCTATTTCAACGAATTTTTTTAACATAAACTGTTATTAAATACAAAATGTGTTAACTAATAAAAGTTTAAGTATAAAAATGTCATGAAAAATTGTTAGGGACATAAATACTATAACGAATAAAGAATGAGAACCTTGAGTATAATTAAAATGTGGTGCAATAAATAAATATTGTGGTGTAAATTTAATTAGCCTTTAAATATTGAATGCTACTTTTGAACTCCAAAAGAAAAGGAAACTCTAATCCTATATAGTTTTCTCAATGCTTTAATGTTTGGAGTACCTTATGTTTAAAAAGTATCAATTATAACATCGAAATATTTTGTCATAAAATGTCATTTTCTTGATTTTTTTTGTTAAAAAAAGTTGTCGAGAGATTTTTCAACACAACAATTTTCGTTATTAAAATTTAAAAGTGATATTTCTTGTATAATTATTTAGCATTTTCTGAATGTGATTTACTTGAAATTTTCACAAGCTCCTTGCACATTGAAAGCATAATTTCTAGCTAGAGACACTCGAGAAAACACTTTCCTGTCCCATCTTGCATTTTGACCAAATGTAACAATTTTCCATCGCCAGTCATTCTATTCTGACCATCAACATTTGAGGGTGGATTTGATTTGGTTTGATTTTTGATTTGATGGTTAAGGTTTTGATTAAGAAATCATCTTATGACTGATCATGTTATATATCCTAGGAATCCGTGCACAAACTCCGATGCTCCTAATTCTCCACGAGATCTNTAAGATAGCATCTTATGACTGATCATGTTATATATCCTAGGATTCCGTGCATAAACTCCGATGCTCCTATTTCTCCTCGAGATCTTGTTTTGGTTCTTGATTTGTCTCTCCTTAGTAAAACCCTAAATCAAGATTGCTGTAATAACCTAGTAATTTGCATCTATCCTCACAATCAATATGCCAATTTTGTGTATCTATTTATAGGGAATAGTATATAGTAGATAGATACACTAATTTACAAGGATAGATAGACCAAAGGTTAACAAGGTGTGACAA